ATTATTCATTAATGTATTAGTTTCCTACCAAAAAACTCAGTGGATCAAAACAACAAAAATTTATTGTCTCAGAGTTCTGGAGGCCAGAGTCCAAAATCAGGGTGTTGGCAGGGCTGTGCTCTCTTAGACAGATCTAGAGGATAAAGGTGCCTTGCCTCTGTTAGCTTCTGGTGCTTGCTGGCAATTCTTGGCTTATAGAGGCACCACTGCAGTCACGTGGTAACCTTCTGCCTGTGGGTCTTCACATAATCTTTCCTCTACATGTGTCTGCCAAGGTGTCCAGATTCACCCCTTTTCCTAAGGACACCAGTTATTTCGGATTAATACCCGCCCTAATGACCTCATTTTAACTTGATTACAACTTTAAAGACCATGTTTCCAAATAAAGTCACATTCTGACATAAAAGGGATTAAGACTCTAACAAATCATTTTTGGGAGACTCAACACATTAATGACCTCAGTTTATTTATACTTGTGAAGAGCAGAAATGTTAAGAAGCTACTTTGGCCTTTTTTAGATAAAAGAGAGTACATAGAATAGAAAGTTGACCACAAATAAAATAAGGTTAAGAACAAGAAGACGAAGGTGATAAAAATATGCAACTAGCAACAAAAATGACTTTATTCTCTTTTTAAATCCATTTTAAATTTTCTATGTAAATGAATAAAAATATGTTTCAAGCTCTTTTAGAAAATAATTTTAGGTATCACCTGAAATTTTTGTAAATACACGTTTTTTCACAAGGCAATCTGAATCTAAAATTAGACCAAGAAATAACTAATGGATTCAGAATTGTTTTCACATAAGGAAATAAAAAGTTGATCATGAAGTTGGGAGATCAGAGTAGGAAAAAAGAGAGACCATTATTAACACCAAAATATTCTCCTCCTAGGTTCTTTTGCTTTTCTTTTCCTAGATTCTCCTCCTACATGGAAGGGGAAGATGGGATCAATAATTCAGAAGAGGAAGAAGCTAAAACTTTTGGGGAATTTATTCTTTCAGCAGGAAGTTAAGAAAAGAGCTGTCACTATGCCATTCTGTAGTAAATTTCCCACTGGAGCTCTGAGGAGACCACCATGCTGGCTGCTCTTCAATTACTAGATGGTCCTGAAGCACCAAGGCACAGCCAAAAAAGGAATGGTGACTCTAAGTTCAGAAGACAGGGTGAGTTACAGGCATATGCTGATCAAGTGTGCTTTAGGAATTAAGAATTAATGAGAAACACACCTAAAATTTTAATTTTCTTCCTCCCGTTTGCTTTCTAGAGCTATTCATTTCCACAATTCAATGTATATTCCTTCATTTTATTTTATAGTTATGAATGGAAATATAAAAACATGAAGTCAGCTTGAAAAAAAACGAAACTATTTAAAAGGTGAGGTCATCATCAAAGCACCTTCTTTCTTCTATTAATAGTAGACCCTAGTTATCAGTGAAGTAACACATGGGTTTTTTTTTATTATTATTATTATTAGTTTCTTATGGCTGCTGGCAGTCCTTGGCTTGTGGCCATATCACTCCAATCTCTGCCTCCATCGTCACATCCCCTTCTCTTCGGTCTGTATCCAATTCCCCTCTGTCTCCTTCATATAAGGATACATGTGGTTGTATTTAGGGCCCACCTAGATAAACTGGAATAATCTCATCTCAAATTCCTTAACTTAATCACTGCTGTGAAGACCCCTTTTCCAAATAAGGTATATTTACAGGCTTCAAAAATTAGAACATTATGTCTTTGGGAGACGTAATTCAGCCTGCTACAAATATAGAGCTTGCAAAAGTAAAAATATTATGCAATCATAAACATGCAAGGCAGTATTGAGTAGTGTTTAATAAGATTAGTTCTAGGGGCATTCAGACTTGTGTTTAAGTCCCTGCTCTTCCATGTATTTATTACCTGGGTGACTTTGAGTAGATGATTTAGCATTTCAGTGCCTTACTGTCCTAATCTGTAAAATGGGGCCAATATTACCACCTCCATAAAAGACAAGTGAGGAGGAATAAACAAGACAATGCACTTAAAGCATTTAATGTGTGATTTGCACATAGAAAACTTTCAGTATTAGCTATTGATAAAATTAATGAGTAATGGTGGAAGAGCAGAACTCTGTGAAATTTCCAATATTATCCTCAATTATTTTCTTTTACATTTAACATTATTTCCTCTTGAATCACAGAAAAAGGCAGAGACCAGTTGAGTTCTCTTATTCTAAAGAAAAAATATCAGAATAACTTTCATAAAATAATGGAATCAATACACTAGTACACTAGGAGCAAGAGATGCCAGGCAGAAATTCTGAATACAAACAAATGGGGATTTCAGTCTAAATCGTTTCCCTTACAGCAATGCAAATACCAAATTGATTTCCAGGAAAAAGCACAAAAGCAAATAGCAGAAATGCTTTTAAACTGGTAGACATTAATTGGACAAAGGATGAGAAGCCATAATTTTAGATTAAAATAGAATATAAGTGGATATAATTGTTAGTCTAAGCAGCCTTTTTTGGTCTACAGTTATTATGTGTTTGGTTTTTTATTAATGATAAGAAATACTATCGTAGAAGCAAAGGATCCTATAGAATTCTGTGGTTTACCTAAGGCAACAAAGTGCAAATCCACAAGGAATAGAGGATGTTCTCATCAGCAGGCAGAGTGTACGGTACTTTCATTTTGGAGAAAATGATTTTCTGTCCGTTTCTTTCTTTTTAATTTGGAATTGAAGAAAATTCAGAGAGAAATTGCATCTAGGGTTTCAAATCTACTTATAACTGTAAATTTGATTTTGGAGGAGAATCTAGGTGAAGCGTAGGTGAATATAAAGGAAGTCAATTTTAAAGGAGGAATTCTCCAGAACCACAAAATAATTAGAATGAATGAATCAGCCAAATATATCTCTTTGTCAATTTTACATACAAAAGGGTTGTATTCAAAGTGAAGTTTTTTTTTTTTTTACCTTAAAATTATGTGTGAATAGCAATGTTTTATTACAGAACTGGATCTATATGTGAAGCTTTATTTCTCCCTTGCTAATACAGAAAGGAGTACTATTATCTTTCCAGACTTATTTTTTTTAAAGCAAACAACAGTTTATTAAAAGAGGAGACAGACTTATGCATAACGAGGGTTAGCTACAAGAAAGTTATCCCCCAAGGGGAGCTCTTCACTGTCCTTTATAAGGAAAGGGGTTAAAGGGTGGAGGACAGTGTCATTATTATTATTCTTTTAAAGAAAATGTAATTTTATTAATATTATTTTTTACATTCTAGGATGTTCTAGAGCAGTTGAGAGGGAGGGAAGAGGAGAAAGGGGAAGGAAATAGGTTGGAAGAAGGAGGAAGGTGGAGGGGTGGGATTGAGGCCTGTGGCACCCCCCACATTCCCACAGGAGAGACCCCAGGAGGCTTCCAGTGGTGGCTTGGTCATTGCCGGGCTGGGTACAGATGTCAGGGAGGAGTGGCAAAAGCCCTGACCCCCCACCATCCCAACTCAGGAACCTGGGGCCCTTCTTGCTGCAGCGTGGTGGTTGTTGCTGGGCTGGTTGCATGTGTCAGGGGGGTGTGGCTGAGGCCTGAGACCCCCCACCACCACCCTGGCTCATCCTGTGGAAGCTTGGTGTTCACTGCTGAGCTGGCTGCTGGTGTCAGGGAGGCATGGCTGAGGCCCAAGGCTCCCCACTGCCTGGGGTTGGGAGAGCCCAGGTGCTTCCTGCAGCACCTCGGTGGTCACCGCTGGGCTGGCTGTATGTGCTGGGGGGTGTGGCCAAGGCCTGAGGCCCCCTACCACCCCTCCAATCTTATTTTTTGCAGTTCTTATCAATTTCCTTGTTATCTTGAGTTACCAAAATCACTTTTCTGACACCGAATTCTAATGGGATTTCTCATATTGCATCACTATAATCGAATGGTTGAATAGCCTCCTTCCATCAGCACATCTTTTTATTATAGTCAACATTCTTATTCACCCTAACAGGGGAGGTCAGGTTATGAAAAAATCTTATAATAACGTCTCATGTTGGCAGAACTTGATTCAGTAGGTTTGGTATAAGTCCCACTAATCTGGATTTCTTAAATTCTCTCCCCTAGCTTCACTTATATGATGTTTTCTGGTAGTTTAAGTCAACTAATGTATAGGTTAGTATGAGAACCTTCTCTCTAGAAGAATGACACGTGCTGCTCTGTAAGGAGACACTATAATTCTGCTCCTTGTGACCTTTAGTGTCCTGATGTGGCAACATTTATACCCTTTTTGCATGTGTTTGTGTGCACACATATGTGTTTTAAAAGTGTGTGTAGTAATGCTTATTTACTTCCAAACATTTGGAGAAATCTTGATTTAGACTATTAGTGGAAATGAGAGAGCAAAAAGTAAGTCCCCTAATAACTCAAAAACTGCAAAATTATACGAGAACTTATTATGATTCCAATAACAAAATAGATTATTAAAGGTACAATAAAAGTAACAATGGAGGGATAGTTTAGAATATCATAGCTATCAATGTTTTTAGTTTTTTTCACTTCCTTATAATTATGACATTTTATGATTTGTACATATCTTTTTTTTTTTTGTCTTTTTTGTGACCGGTAAGGGAATCGCAACCCTTGGCTTGGTGTCGCCCATACCGCGCTCAGCCAGTGAGCGTACTGGCCATTCCCATAGGATCCGAACCCATGGCGGGAGCGTCGCTGCGCTCCCATCGCTGCACTCTCCTGAGTGAACCACAGGGCCGGCCCTGAATTGTACATATCTTTCAAGCTGTTTTAAATCTTTTTTTTTTTTGAGCAAAATTGTCAATAACTAACAGCAACGATAACTACAATACTTGTAACAGATGACATTCAGTTAATACCCATTAAATTTCAGGGACTATGGCAAGCATTTTACATATAATTTATTTAGATTGACAACTACCTTATCAGAAGGGAATTATTACTATTCCTGTTTAACTGATGTGGAAATTGAGGTGCTACAAAGTTAAGTAACAAAGAAATTAAGTCACACACCTGAAAACTAGTTGAGCTGGGATGATCCCATGAAATCTGATTCCAAAGCTTGACACCTCTACAAAATAAATAACACTATTAATATTTAATGAAATGGCATTTTAAAACATAAGCTTACTTGCAACTTTGCAAAGTTTTGCATCAGGATATGATGCTCTGAAACCAGATTTTCATTTTTTCATTTATTGATTATTTATACTTGACCACTTCCCAAAGGAACTCAAGTTGGTTTACAAGACTAGACACATGCTTACTAGAAACAAACAATCTGAAATGTGGGAGCTATAATGACAGAAGGGAGTAAGAACAGATCCCACCAGAAGACCTAGCTGAAATGAAGCCACTATGATTCAAAACAAAGTCATGACAACTCAGGCGTGAAAGAGAACAGCATGAGTTTGGAGATTAACATTTGTTTTCTGAGTGTAGTGGGAGAAGTTCTTGAGAGACCAATCTTAGAGACTTTTCTTTCTTACTGCTCTTTCCAATCTTTTCCTTGTCAGTCTGAAGCATCCCCATGGCTTCAATGAGAACTAGGGTTGTTATAGCAAAAATGAAAAAAGAAAAACAAAATTATTTTCAGTACTTATTTTAATTCCCACACTAGGCTTCTGAGAATCAAGTCTTGCAGGAGAACTTTTGCCACTGAAATTGTTAGAAAGAGAAGACCGTTGTACCCCCCCTTTAGGAGACCCTATAAAGGCGCTTGTCTGGGGGATGGGTATCATAAATGTGGAATAGGTCCCTGGTCTAAGGAAGAGGGACTTGCTCTGATGGAGCCTGGTGGGAGCAAGGGGAGGGGACATCCCTCTTCCCCTACACAAAGGAGCCATGACCCTTTCTTTAAAACCCTTTGAGTGAAGGTCTTCCATCTACAGCCACTGGCGAGTCTTCTGTGGCCCATCCAGCAAACAGACCCCTACCTGTGCTGCTGGAGACTTGTCAACAACACCCTTGTCAACAAGACAGAGTCCTTGATCCTTAGAGGCAGGGAATGGTGTGGAATAGAAAGACTTAGCACAAGAGTTAAGGGAAACCAATCCTACAATAGCACTGGCATGGGAGGAATGTAGTGCTCTCATCTGATACACACAAACAGAGTGATACTGGAAGAGACATGAATATTGCCATAAAAACAATACATCCCTTTATATTGTATTTTTCACATAAAAATCACTTTCACATAAAGTACGGACAGTTTAATAGGAGTTTTTAAAAAAGGTACAGAAACATGTTTCAGTAAAATAATTTCGTATTCTCTTTTTTGTGAACTGTAGTTCACTGGAGTCCTTTGTATAATAAGTTAAATCAGTGTGGAATAAACATTATAACTTTCAGGCTGTCAGACTTAATAAAACGTTATTGTTTAGGGCAGCAGTTGCACACCAGAATCTCCTGGAGGGCTTGTAAAAACACAGATTGCTGGGCCCCGCCTTCAAATTCAGTAGATCTGGGGTGAAGCCCCAAATTTGCATTTCTAACAAGTTCCCAGGTAAATGCTGCTGCTGGTCCAGGACCACACTTTGAGAAGCACAAACTTGGGAGATACAGAAACTTGACTATTAAGCATCTCTTTGAAAGTTTGTCTCAAATACCAATGGCCTCGCTGGAGTGGACATTGTAGAAGAGCTGGGAATAAGCAAATACATACAAGTATTTGCTCTGGGTCAGTCAGTGTTCTGGGTGCATTTCATAGACGAATACAGTTAATCCTCACAACAGTCCTCTCAAGTACATACTGTCATTAGCCTCATTTTGCAGATTGGGAAACAGAAGTACAGAGAGGTTAAAAACCTTGCCCATGGTCACACAGCTGGAAGATGGTAGAGCTTGGAATTAAAGCCAGGTGACCTGTCTGTGCTTATAACTGCTATGATATATTGAAGACATTAAGATCTTTGAACCATTCTGATCTACAGATATTTTATCTGAGTACTTTAAATGTTTAGTATGTAGATGGCAATTGATCTTTTGCTACGATCAATTACCAAGGCATTTGGGATGGGGATTAGAGGAATGGGCTACACAAACCTCTGCATGAAGATGACACCCAGAAGACCTATACTCAGGGCCAAACTTTACTAGACAGGAAACTGTGAATGTACCTGCATTTCACCTAAGTTCAGGACCTTACACCACTTTGCTCTTGGACTTGAAACCCTCTAAGGCTTTGCTTCCCACTTAGACTATGATCTCAACCCTTCCGAGGTCTACAAGGGCCTTTCTGATCTGGCTTCTCCAAGGCCTCACTCTTCTTCCGCCCTGTACCCATCCCTCCAGTTTGCCCACAGACCCGTTCCTTTCCTGTTCATTGCTCTACTCCATTGTCAGCGGGCTCCTAACTGGGGCTTCCCGCAGAGGGCACTGCCAAGAGAGGTAGGATGGGAGGAGTTAGGGTATCCACCCCTACTCTCTCTGACCTGGCTTCTCCATGGATCTTGCTCCTGTTGGACAAGTCTACTATGTTTCAACTTCTGCTGGGTGACCGTCGCCTGGGCTCTGGTAACTATGCATACTCCCACAGCTCTCCCAGCCTAGGCCACTAAAGGCTTCCTGCCACTTCTAATCTTTGGATGCCTTTCTGTCCTGTTTGACTTCATAGTCTTTTACCACCCATATAACCAACTCCACATATTAATTTTCTCTCTTTTAAATACATTAAGTTGTTTCTGTTTTCCCCACTGGACCGGGACTGATACACCCTTGTTTATCTGCCCCAGCCACCCTGGACCTCTTTCTTTTCACTAAACAAAGATGAGTCCCTGCCCCAGGACATTTGCACTAGTTCAAAGCTTACTCTCACATGCCATTCCAGTCTTGGTACAAATGTCACTTCCTCAGAGAGCTTCTCTGATCATCCTGTCTAAAATGAACCCTCTAGTGTCTTTTTATCACATTTTTTGTTTAATTTTCTCACAGTACTCATTACTATCTAAAATGACCTTGCTTATTCATTTACCTATTTCTTGACCATTTTGCCACAATAGAATGTAAGCTCCATGAGAGTGGGTATCTTGGGTGTCTTGTTCACTACCATGCTTTAATATTATGAGTACGACTATGTCTGGCACTTAACAAATATTTCCTGATAGATAGACTGAGTAACCAAGTGGATGACTGAATGAGTTAATGTAGTTTCAGAGTGATGATCCTAGAATGGAAAATAGGTAATCCCCTGAATTCCAACTCTGATCAGTTGGTAATGTCTACAGAAAATACAAAGCAGAGGATTTTGAGGATGCATCTTAATAATTATCTAATTGAACCTTAAAAGAACTTTAATATGGCACCTGGAAGAGACTGGATTCTGAGAATGCTATTATCACAATAGGCATACAAGTTTGCACTGACCAGAAAATGTACCTCCAGGTAACTGAATGACTTAGTGACCTGAATTATTTAGCACTGTTCTTCTAAATGCTGGAGAATGTCTGCCTACCACAAAATAATGGCTTTGCTTTCACATATTAGATGTTGTACTGCTCTTTCTGACAGTAATTGGTGGTAAAATTTCAACTGCTTCTTAAAGCAACTCGTAAATAATAAAGAGGAGTACACTTTTCTATTTTCTGTTGAGACAGAGAATGTGCATATTTTCTTCAAAAATGATACATGGTTATAGTAGAATATTTAGAAAATGCACAAATCTCAAAAGAGGAAAATCACACAGAGAAAACTGCTGTTGATGATTTAGTACAAAACTTTCTAGGTTCCTTTCATGCACAAATGTGCATTATTTTCACAAAAATTAGTCATTTTGTGTTAGAACTTGCTTTTTCTGGCTAAATTATATTGTGTACATTTCCCCATGCATACTGTTCTTCAACCACACTTTTTCTTCAAACATACTCTTTTAAAAGTTATACTATTTTTCATCACAGTGATACAAGGGGTCTTCAAAAAGTTTATGGAAACTGCATATTATTAAAAAAAATATGCATGAATTTCAAAACATGTTTGGCACACCAAAATAAACTCATATTAACTTGTTATATCATGTCTGAACAGGATCTAATTTGAGGCACTAAGAAAGAAAAGACATCAGTTTGAAAAGAACCCCTATCAGAGCAACATGACTTCTGCTAAAGTTGAAGCAAAAACAAAATTCAAATTGATTGTGAAGCTTGGAAGAGTAGTGAAGTCATTAATGGTTTATGGAAAGTATATAAGGACAATGCCCCAAAGAAGTCAGCAGCTTACAAATGGAAGACTCACTTTAAGAAGGGGTGAGATGATGAAGCCCGCAGCAGCAGACCATCTACATCAGTTTGTGAGGAAAAGATTAATCTTGTTTGTGCCCTAATTTAAGAGGACCAATGATTATTTATAGGTTATAGATATATACATAGATATATAGACATAGACATAGAATGTAAATATAGACATAAATATAAAGGTACATTTTTGTATAAAGGGTTTACAGATCTTTTAAAAATATTCTTGTCAGTAAAAATATTGTCAGATGCATTTAGATGTAGATTTCTTTTCATTAATTTTGCCTAGAGGATGGCTAATTGTTAAAACTGCATACATAGATCTTTTTTTATTTTTAGTTTTGGGAAAGTTTCTTATAATTGTTTCACATTTCTGCCCTTCCTCGTGAATAATTTGCTTTTTGTTTTATTTTCCTTCTCTTTCTTTCATATCTATCATTTCTTGACACCTTCTTTTAGTTTTTTCACATCATTTTTATTCTTTATTCTCTATAATATGGGTTTTAATTTTTATAATGCTTTAGTTTCTTGATGTTTTATGACCTTATTCTCCTTTTTCATCTTGAACTGTTCCCTTTTTATTTTAATCTGTTTTCTTATGTCTTTCTATTTTTGTTTTGAAGAAGCCATATCTAATTTAATAAAAATGCCGAAATCTTCTTAAACTTTTCTTCTCAGATTATTAGATCATGATTTTCCATCAATGGGCTTTTCTTCTGAGTTTTCAGAATCCTGTTTCTTTTCTTTTTTCTCCGTTATCAGACCAAGGATATGGATTTTTCTTGTTTTGTTCTTTTTTTTTGAATTTTGTACTGGTAGTATTCCATCCTCAGATTTGTACCTG